ACCCAAAATAGCTCCCTCTCAGAGTATACTAGCATAGCATTGATTTAAGCCTACTTGCAATCTAGGGAGTCGAGTTCTGAAGGTTTTTCTTCAGGTGTCCTGTGGCTTCTCACATTTGAGCTTCACTGGTTGGTATGCTAGGCAAGTACCACTGAGCTACATCCCAGCCCACATGATTCTTTTCAAAACTGAACATATCTGGGACCAGGTTGAGGGGAGCCTGGCTATTAGTGTTAAAAAAAAGAAAAGAAAAGAAAAAAACTCCTAGAAAAGATTCACTTAAAGGAATTACTTTCAGACATGCCCAGCCTTATGATACTGTGACATAACATTGGCATCTACAAAGCTGGTGTTTGAGAACTGAGGTATTGAATTAAAAATTTAAAAATCAGGGCTGAGAAATGGCTCAGCAGGTAAAACGCTTGCCATGGAAGCATGAGGACTATAATTGGCAGCCCCAACACCCACATAAATGCCTGGCAGGCGTATTGCCCCTCCTGTAATCCCAGCCGTTGGGAGACTGGACAAGGGATCCCTAGAGCAAGCTAGCTAGATTACTAGAAGCAGTGTGCTGAGTTCAAGTGGCAGACCCTGCCTCAATATATAAGGCAGAGAGCATTGATGAAGATTCCTGTTGTTGACCTCTGGCCTTCACATACAGACACACACACACACAATCACATACCCCACAGACAGACAGACACACACACACACACACACACACACAAACACCACAAAAAAAACAATATTTTATGAAAGCTATGATTTTGTGTTGGGCCACATGTGATGCTAAAGGCTACAAGCATCATGGTGAATGGGACAAATGTGGAAGGAGGCAATGGCCACTCAGGCCACCGCCATCTCGGAGCCTATAGGCTGATACTCCATATACTGACAGATCTACATTAGAATGAGTGAAACATGCAACCAAAATTTTACTAAACACGTGCTGACCACAGCAGCTATGCTGAAGGGCCTGACTGAGGAAGCATGGATGGCATGAAGTGAGACAGAGGGGACTTTCCAGCTTGTGGCACCTGTCACCTGTGAGATCATTTCAGCTCTGAATGGATCCTGTGGTCTGAGCAGAAAGCAGTCCAGCTCACATGATGGCTTTGGAGAATGGCAGAGACACCATGGGGTGTTGGAAGCATTGCCCATACCTCTTACCTATTTTTATCTACAGGTTAAACATGAATTTAGGGGACTGGAGAAATGGCTCAGTGGTTATGCCTGATCACTGCTCTGGCAGAGGACCTGAGTTCAGTTCCTAGCACCCACATCATGCAGCTCCCAATCTGTAGCTCCAGCTCTAGGGGATTTGATGCTCTCTTCTGGAATCCATAGGCACCTAGGCATATGTGCGCATACCCACACACAGACACACATAAAAGTAAATAAAAATAAAGATTTTTGAAAACCTAGACTTCAGAATTTAGAAGAAGTAGAGGAAGCAGTTGCCAACTGATATTCTACTCTGAAAGGGCTATTCCTATAAAGCTGTTTTTTTCATCATTACATGAATTTTGAACATATAAAACTGGAGAAAACAGTATAATGAAGGACACACAGTCCTTCTTGTTGATGGGCCATAATCTATGCCAATTCCTTCCAATACTTTTGGGGGCAAAAATCACACTTTATATCATTTTATTCATAAATTTTGTAATGTGCATCTAAAAATAAAGGCTTTTAAAATAAATATAGCCACAATACCATCACTACAGAAAAACATTAAACCTCAATATCATCAAATACTTAATCCATGTTCCAATTTCTAATTGTCTCAAAAATATTATATGCTTTTACATAGTTATTTTAGGATCCAAATAAGTTCAAAGAGCCTATAAATTTCTTATTTCTGGACTGAAACAAAATTCAAAGTTAGGCTTCCTTAGCCTACCTTATGTTTACAAAATTGCAGTACCAGGGAAGGTTATTTTCTTATTAAAAAGGTCTTAGACGTTAGTCACTAGATATCTGTTTCCACGGGTCCCGTGTCTGTAGCCTTATAAAACTGGAAGCATTTGGCTACTGGACTGCAGAAACATACTGGCTGATCACCCATTTCCCAAGGGATTCTAGCCACATTGGCAGTTACCCCATCCATGCCCCTGGCCTTCAAGAGCTGCTATGAGGCCTCCTTAAATTAGAGGGGTTGGGTGCTCTGGCGGCCACAAGAGGGCACTCGAGGAACTTGCTGAACTTCAGAGTTACCTAAAAGCCAATTTAGCAGCTTTATCTCAGGGGAGCTTATAGAGGTTTGATGAAGCTGAGTCTCTCCCTAGCTCAGGCCCAGTTTTTCCAACAGAAGGAACCAGAAGTTTGGAAGGTAGGTGTCTGGAAGGTGTGCCTTGTTCCCTGCACTGTCTCGAAGAAACCAAGATTAGTTGTCAATTGCCTAGCCTGAGGATTTGTTTTCAGCTCGTCCCATCTGGCAATGATCTTCCTCTTGTATCCATTTGGGACACTAAAGTGTAGACATAGATCAATGGGTATCTAGAGACCTTTTTTTTTTTTCCGAAAAACAGGATCTTACTGTAAAGCATTGGTTGGCCTAGAACTCACTATGTAGACCGGAGTAGCCTCAAACCCACAGAGATCCACCTGCTTCTGCCTCCCAGGTGCTAGGATTAAAGGTGTGCACTACCACACTCAGCCAGTCCCAGTATGTCTTTGTTTACATACTTCCATTATTAAGTAAACAAAGATAGCTATGGTATAAGCAATGTGAGACATCAGGTAATACAAAGCTATACACCTAAGAAAATGCTCAAGGTAGGAATCTAGGTACCCTTTGCCTTGTGTCTAGGACTCCTATATAGATATCTAGGGTGATGGGATTGATGCCGTTTACTAAGGTGTCCTGTTTTGTTGGGGGATTATATGACAATTCACCTTTTTCTGATATTTTGCTTTCTAAGCTTTCAGCTTTTTATTTAGTTAACTGCTGTCTGAAAATGCTAACTAGAAAATTCCAGAAACAGTTCCTAAGGTTTTAATTGCTCCTCATGCTGAGCAGTATAATGAAATCTCCTATCTTTCCATTCAGTAGGTAGGTCACCCCCGATCTAAGGGTACACACTCACAGCCTGGTCGTTTGTCACTTAGTAGCTATCTTACTATCAGACCAACCAGCGCAGTGTTACAGAGCTTGTGCTCCGGTAGCATTTATTTAATAATGGCCCCAAAGCCCACTGGTACTGATGCCAGTGATTTGGATATACCAAAAGTAGCTCTTTCAGTGATAAAGTGATAGTACTGTGAGATATTTTAAGAGAGGCGAGGACACATTCACATAGCTTTTATTGAAGTATATTGTTTATATACCTATGTATTTACTATATTACAGTATATTATAATATTCTATTATTAGTTATTTACTATTAGTTATTGTTTATTTCTTCCTTTGCATAATTTACAAATTAAACCTTATCAGAAGTTTATATGCACAGAGAAAAACGAAACATGCATTGGTTGCATCTGTGAAGCTTTCGCCATCCACTGGGAGGGTCCTGAAATGTATTCTGGGTGGATTAAGGGGACCACTATAGTTTCTTAGGGTTGCTATAATGGAGTGCCACAAGCTGAGTGACTTAAAACAACAGAAATGTCTATTTCTCTCATACTGCTGGAAGCCAGATGTCCAAAATCAAAGTGAACGGGGCCCCGTGGATCTTCAGGGCTCTGGGACAGATTGCCTCAGTTCTTCCCAGTGGAAAGCCAGCAGTCTTCAATCATTCCTGGGATGGAAGATGTTCATCTTCAATGTCTTCACATCATCTTCCCTCTATGTGTGTCTGTCTCTTTATATATACCAGTCATTAGATTAGGGCCTCATGCCTCAGTGACCTCATTTAACATAAATACCTCTGGAAAGACTCTGTCTCTAAAAAGATTACATTTTGAGGTACTGGGGGCTAGAACTTCAACATATCTTTAGGGGAAGAGATGAAATTCAACTCATGATAGGATCCGTGCTTTAGGAAAGTTAAGTTTTATTTATCCTAAACGTTTTATTTATTTTTTGTGTGTATTTTGCACTCATGTCATGCAATGCACACTGAAGCCAGAAGAGGGTGTCGAGTCCCCTGAAACTGGAGTTAGGAATGGTTGTTAGCAACCATGTGGGTGCTGGGAACTGAAACTGGGTCCTCTGCAAGAGCAGCCAGTGCTCTTAATTACTGAGCCATCTCTCCAGTCCCAGAAAGATAACTTTTAAAAGCCTGTGTGGACAAGCCTCATCAGTCATGAACGCTGGTGGGTCACATCCCAATGAGGGTCTAAGGTAAAGTTTACAAATCTATGAAGGTGTCACAGCAACATACAGACTGCTGTGTTGTGAAAAGCTATGTGCATTGACTTTGGTCAAAATAACAGCATTATAAACCATGTGAGCTTCCAAATCCAGATCATGATAAATTCACTACGTTAGGTAGTTTCCTAAAGCTAAAACATAAACTGAAGCACAATAAAGTTTTTAAATGTATTTGAGCAAATAGCCATGATTGTTGGGCAGCTCCAGATCCAATGCGGTCCAGGAGCTTCACCATAAAGATGCATCAGGGAGGTACAGGAGCAAAGCAAAGCAAATGCAATTGGCCACAGCTCTACTGTAGCTGTTTACCTGGGCTCTTCCCATTGGAAAGTCCCTAGTTATATAAGTTTGTTGATTACTTCTGATTGGTTGAACTTAAGTATTGTTTTTCTTTCATATGAGAATTTATAATAAATAATTCAAATTACATTTTGCTTCTATTTACAGATCAAGCAAAGCTACAGTTGTACAAGGAGGAAAGCTCCATGACTTTGTATGCACTGGGGTCCTGCAGGCCTAGCCTCCATTTTAACATTTTAACACTATGATCATTGATGTAGAAAATCAAATCCAAGTCAAAAGAGGAGAGAGACAGAGGGAGGGGGAGGAGAGGGAGAGGGAGAGGGAGAAGGAGAGGGAGATTGATTTTTTTTGCTAAAATAATTCAACAGCTAGAAAACACAGGGAATTTGTATGTATTAGATGTTCAAAACTTGGATTCACATCCCTTCTGAGGATCACAAGTGGTCATTGCATGCCAAAGGTGGCCTTGCCTCTGCTTATTACCACCAGAGAATGAATGGCTCTCTTGGCCTTCTGTTGGTGTGTTCATGGTCCAGCAGGCACTGGTCTCCACAGGTCCCGCTTCAGCTCCTGCCACGGCTGCTCAATGAACAGTGTCAGGACAAGCCCACAGAAGAAAGTCAGCACACAGTGTCCAGAGAAAAGATAGAACTGTGGGGAAAGGGAACACAGTGCACAGCTTACTCCATGAGCCCTCCATGTTTGCATCTTAAAGTATGTTCTCCTGCCTCTATGAAACAGAGCAGTAGAAAAAATAATCACAAACATTGAAAGTTAAAAAGAGGTTATCCTAGAATGAAGCATTCCCTTTCTCCTTCAAATTAAAAGAGAACAGTTCAATTCTAGAAAAAAAAAAACAGACTTCTAGCAAAGCCAGACATTTGCTTTGCCACTCAAGAGGAGTGAATGGTGGTGCTATGACAGGGCCAAGGGCCAGTCACTTGCTTACCATATTGGTGTCAGTGTAGTGGATGAGGGTCTCCTGCAGTCCATTGTAGAGGATGATCACAATGGGATGTACCAGGTAGCAAGCATAACTGATGTTAGCTGGGAAACTCCAGACATCACAAGAAAGCAGCTGGTTCACCGGACCTGGTGGAAACAGGTATCCAGTCACAAAGTTGCAAGCCTGTCTTTGGGCTGGTTCTTATTTTGCTTTCTGGAGTCTCCTAGCCCCTACCCTGCCACTACCCCATTGTAATGCCCTGCAAGGGAGGGATTTTTTTCCTTATCTATTGCTGGATCCCAAACATCTAGAACATTACCTAGCACAAAACAAATATACAAACACATTTAGTGCACTTATGTGAATAAACAGTTATGGGCTTGAAGACAAAAATGCATTTGTCTGAAGTGAAGTCCAAATGAGGCAAGCCAAGATGTCACTGTGGAACAGAACAAACTAACTAGAGGAAAGTTAAGACAGCAAAAAGCCAGCCCACACTCACCCAGGGAGACCAAACACACAAGCGGGTGCCCTACAGTCAACAGATATGTACATGGCAAGGTATGATCCACTCCACCAGATCATGAACTTAATGTCAGTACAGATTTACTGGTTTTATAGTTTTGTGGTTACTTTATAATGTGGGGGGTTTTTTTGACTTTTACAAATGTATGTGCTATAAACACACAAAAAAAATTGTATCTAGGTTCATGTTTGTCTTGAAATAAAATTAGAATAAATAATTAGGCCAGAACTAAAGATCTAAAAGAATTCTTATTCCTTTAGAGTGGATCCAAACCCAGGTTTGAGGACTGTCACCAAAGATGATAGGGTACTTGTGAAGGGCTTTTTGTTTGTTTTTGTTTTTACTTGAGATAGTTTTGGTTTGGTTTGATTCAGTTTTTTTTTTATTTTTTTAAAAAAATATTTTATTTATTTTTGTTTTATGTGTATGTGTGTATTGCCTGCATGTAAGTAAGTGCACCCCTGTCATGCAATGTCCACAGAGGACAGAAGAGGCTATCAGATCCCCTAGAACTGGAGTTACGGACAGTTGTTAGTTGCCATGTGGGTGCTGGGATTTGAACCTGGGTCTTCTGTAAGAAAAGCCAGTGGTCTTAACCTCTGAGCCATCTCTACAGCCCCTTAATTCAGTTTTTTTGAGACAGGATCTCACTATGTAGCCCAAACTGATCTTGAACTCCTGCCTCAGCCTCCCAAATGCTGGGATTATAGGCATGTACCATTATACCCAGCCTAAGGAAAAGCTTTAAAGTTAGAATATTAAAGAACAAATCTTTTATCATTAGGTTTAAAAATTCAAACAAAAGCCCTTCATAAGTACCCTATCATCTTTGGTGACAGTCCTCAAACCTGAGTTTGGATCCACTCTAAATTGTTTTCAAGGACAATTTAAATCACCAGCTGAGAGGAGCTATCACTCAGAAATAAAGAACAGGGTCCTTTGACTTCACACTAGGTCCTGGGTGGCTTTCTAGCTCAACCACTTATCAGCAGTGTGACCTTCACTATGTTGCTTTCATTTCAGATATGACAGTTCTCATTGAGAAATAGCACTAACTATCCATCTGCCTCCTAGAGATGTGGCCAGTGGTACCTGGGGTTCCTTCGGTAACCTTATCCATGGGGCCTGGAACATAGGTGTTCAATCAACAGGAGTGGTTAGGGTCACCCATTTTCTCTTTAAACTGTGAGTTCCTACCATCTTGGCTGAGGCTAAGCAGTTTGGGTCCACAGGCTTAGCCCTGCTCCCCCTGTCCCCTCTGCCCCTGCTGTTTGTGGCTTTAGGGATTCAGAGAAGTTTGACAATAGAGCTTTTTTTGAATGGTACCTGCCTGCCGTTTTGGTGGCACTCCTTAACCTCATGCCAACAGAAAGTCATTCCTTTCTTTCCATTCATGTGCCTCATCTGCTTGCTCTCTGCCCATCAAAAGCCAACAGCACAGAAATAGTCTCCCTGGTTATAAAAAGGAGTCTTGGTGACTCTTTAGCCTTCTCTCTCCTTAGTGGAGGAAACGGAGGCTTGAGGTGTGTGTGACCAGAAACCTTGTACCCCATCACTACATTTTCACACTTTCTTAGTGAGTACTTACTGGGTGTGCTGGATAGCTTTAGTGTCAACTTGACACACCTGGGTTGAGGGAGCCTCAATTGGGGGATTGCCTCTATTGGACTGGCCTATGGCCATGTCTGAGGGACATCTTCTTGATGAATGATGTGGGAGGGCCCAGCCCGCTGTGGGTGGTGCCACCTCTGGGCAGGTGGGCCTGTGTTGCATAAGAAAGCAGGCTGAGCAGGGGCTAAGGAAGCAAGCCAGTAAGCAGCAATCCTCCATGGCCTGTGCTCCAGCTCCTGCCTCCAGGTTCCTGCCCTGAGTTCCTACCTTGGGCTCCCTGATGAACTATGACCTGGGAGATGTAAGCTCAATAAACCCTTTCCTCCCCAAGTTGATAGTGGTCAGAGTGTTTTGTCACAGCAATAAAGAAACAAACTAGGACACTCGGCTAGCCTCTAAGCTAGCTTTACTAAAGAGGCCTCAATCTTATCTTTCAGAACCTACTTGTAAATAAATCAACATAAAAGCAGAAAATGGGGACTGGAGAGATAGTTCAGCAGTTAAGAGCACTGACTACTCTGGCAGAGGACCTGGATTCAGTTCCTAGCACCCACATGGCAACTAACAACCATCTGTGACTCCGGTTCCAGGGGATCCCATGCCTTCTTCTGACCTCCACATGTATTGCATGACATGGGTGCACTTACATACATGCAGGCAATACAGTCATACACATAAAATAAAAATAATAAGCTGGATATAGTGGCACATGCCTTTAATCCCAGCACGGGAGGCAGAGGCAGGTGGATCTCTATGAGTTCAAGGCCAGCCTGGTCTTAGTGAGTTCCAGGCCAACTGGGGCTACAGGGAGACCCTATCTCAAAAAGACCAAAAATAAAAATAAATAAAAATAATAAATAAAATATTTTAGATTATAAAAATACAAATAGAAAACAAAATACAGTGGTTATTTTCCCCAAGGATAGAAACAAAGTGATCATCAGAGTGATATTTCTGATTGATGTCAATTATTCATCAACCCCCCACCCCAGGGGTGCACATTTTGTTTTAACTTTGTCACCCTCGGGAACAGGGTATAGGCCCAAGAGCAGCGCCAGCAGCCCTCCCTACCTCCATAGCCTTCCAGGCAGGCAAAGATGACCCAGCCCACAGCTGCTGCCCACAGAGTCCGATGGAAGGCCTGGTAGATGGCAGCAGTCACAGAAGAGTTGGCAGAGGTGGTGCCATCTACTGTGTAGGCCAGGGCGACAACCACAAACAGTGTCAGCAGAGAGCATGCCCAGCCCATCAGGGCCTGCGCCTGAGGGGAACAAAGAGTGGGTCACAGCCCATGAATCACTGCATCTTTTTGCACATGCTCACTTCTTTGGTGTCATTCTGTCACTTCAGATCTCTAGGTGGAAACCTCTGTCACCACACAGATTTGACCAAAACAGAAGATCTAACTTAGTGGTCACCAGGGGTTAGGAACACTGGGGAACAAAGTGTGTGTGACTGTAAAGGGATAGGGTAAGTTGGGTGTGGTGGTGCATGCCTGGAACCCCAGTGCTCAGAAGGCTGAGGCAGGAGGACCATGAGTTCAAGGCCAGCCTGGGCTATATAGAGAGACCCTATCTCAGAAAACAAAAAAGTAATAGTACAAAATAATAATCTATTCACTAATGAATTTGCACATTCAGCCTTTTTTATGTGGTGGACACTTTCATACATTTGTACAATGTGCTTTGATTATATTTGCTCATTATTATCCACACACTCCCTTCCTTCTGATCCCTTCTGATTCTTTAATTAGTCCCCCTGCTATTTTACACACTTAGCTTTTAATAAACATAGGTCTAGTCAGAAAAAAAGGAGGAAGGGGAGGGGAAGGGGAAAGATTGGAGGGAGGGGAATGGAAGGCTTTGTGGTGACCAAGAGCCTTATTCCTTGATTAGAGTGGGTACAAATCTCCACATGAAACAGCAGTCCCAGAACTATACACACATACAAACAGGTACAGGGAAACTGGCAATCTAAGATCTATGGGTTGTGGCAATGTCAGTCCCTGGAGGTTATACTGTACCATGGTTCCCTGGCATGGTCCTTGTGGCACAGCCTGACTGAAGGATGCACAGGACTTCTCATATTATTTTTGGAATTTCCCACAAATACACAGTTAGTTCAAAATGAATGATAAAAGAAAGACACTTTGCTTTCCAACAGTCCTGCCACTCCTAATATCTAATCCTGTCTCTTAACCAAAGAGAGCACCTCAATGGGATGGGAGAGGGTGCCTTGGGAAATGGGAGACGGGACTCTTTCAGCTCAAAGAACAGCCATGAGTTAAATCCTATTACCTGGATCAGTTTAAGATCATAGATCTTATGTCACTTCTCTTGACCTTTTTAGACCCCGATCTGTCTTCCAAGACCTTCTCTTGTTCTTGTTGTTAAGCTACCATAATGAATGACATCTATAATAATACAAGAAACTGTCTGCCATCTTGTCTCTGAGACTCAGAGTTCAAATTCCTGCCCTAGTTTTGACTGCAGGGAAGGAAAGTAAACCTTTGGGGGCTCTCCACACTTGGACCAAGTCTAAGCCCCTCACTGTTTGCCAGTTCGTCAGCATCAACCGGCCTGTAGCCTCACAAAATGCATCTAAATATGTACTCTCCTCCTCTCCTTGACTATGGCTGGTCAAACAGGATCCTCCAGCCCAGCACATAGTGCCCGCACAGCTTCCTACAGCTGGACTCTGAGTCCTTATTTTTCCAGCTTCTAAAGGTTTTGTCTGCCAGCATTCTACGTTGTTTTTCCAGCTCAGTCTGTCTTGTGTCCTTAGCTCCATGCTCCCTGGCCCCGATGCTAGCCCTTGAAGTGGTTCCCCAATGCTTCCTCTTCATCTTACCTCTTCCCATTTGCTCATACCTCTTCTCCCTGAGTCCTGATGTAACCTGAGTTCTGTTAAAGCATCCCTTTGATGGTGCTCGGGTATGGTCTAAAGAGGAACAGTGCATTTCCAAGAGAACACCAAAACTCTAACTTGTAAAAGATACACTGTTCCATGTATGCACTTGTCCTGGCTAAATTTTTCCTTTTGAGACAGTGTCTCATGATACGGCCTACGCTGGGCTGGAGCTAACAATCCTCCTCAGCCTCCTGAGCACTGGGATTACTACATGTGCCACCACACCCAGAAAATCCTTCTCTCTCTCTCCCTTCCTCCCTTCCTCTCTTGAATTTCATGTGTATGAGTGTTTTGCCTGCATGTACCTAAGTGCAATGCCAACAGAGGCCAGAAGAAGGCATTAGATCCTCTGGAATTACAGACAGTTTTGAGCCACCATGTGGGTACTGGAAACCAAACCTGGGTCCTCTACTCTAGAAAAGCAGCCAGTGCTCTTTACTGATGAGCCACCTCTCCAGTCCAGAAAATCCTATCTCTTCATGTTCCCATGAGCAACATAACTTGTCCAAGGACTGGGCCTCTTCTCTGAAATGTCTATAAGGTGCATATAAAATCAAGGCCAACGAAGGTCAGCCTGGCAGAGACCTTGAGGGTAAGAGTTGTTCCTTAGTAGCACAACTGGATTCTTAGTCCTTTAGCTCAGTGAGGAGAACTGGACTCTGGCAAGAAGTGTCTGTCTCATCCTTCCGCATGGAAAGACATCCACAACACTGTAGCACAATAAGGCACCAAGGAGCCTGGTCCTTCTGCCCTTGGCTTGAAAGAGCCAGGCCAGAGAGGCCATACCAACCCCAGCCAGACCCATGCCCCTATAGGGAATCATGAGGACAACATACCTTAGTCTTCAGAATGTTTGTAGGGTGGTTTTGATGCTTGAAAATGCTGAAAAAGAGGCCCACAAGAAATGGTCCACATCGGCAGTAGGGCTTGGTGTAGTATTCCAAGTAGTATAACACAGTCTCGTTTTCACTACAAGAAAGAAAGACGGGGAAGCAAGTCAAAAGCTCGGGTTTTATTTGGGCAAGAGAAAGGGAATGTCCACTGGGGTGTCCATAAATCCAGAGCTAGATGCGGAACACATTTGTTCATTTCTTAATAATGATCCATACACAACGATTTTCTAGGCCTTGGGTCATAGCTGGCATGTCCAAATTCCAAATTCCCTTGGGCCCCGTATCCCAAATCCCAAGGAAATATGATGATTTCATTTGCTTTAAATAATCATTTCTGGGGGCTGATCCATTGGCTACCTCTAAAAATATGGTGCTCAGAAGAGACTGTCCCAAGAGAGAACAGAAGTTCTAAGAGATTCAGGCCAGACCTTTGAAAGCGTACCAAAGGTCTATTTCATACCATGATTTCAAAGATACGTCTCCTAACAGCAACAGCAGCAGCACCTGAGCAAAGTCCTGCCTCACCCAAGAATTACTGAAGAGGAGGAGGCAGGCAGTGGCCCGAGCCACATGCATAATAACACACCCTCCAGGTGATCTTGAGGCCCCTTAAGTTTAAGAAGTACTGCCTATATTGTCTGTCACAGGAGATGTGCAGGAGACACCCAGGCCCACTGAATTTGAATTTCTGGACATGGGACCTAGGGATGAGATCATCAAAGTTCCTTGGCATTCCAAAGTACTGCCTAGATTCAAAGCCTCTACTATAAATTTATCACTGTTTCCCACCAAAACTAGAAGACCGTTTCAGCTCTGAATCCCCTTGCTGCCCACTCAGAGACAATCAGAGGAAGGAAGTTGCTTGAAGATCAGTGGTGTGGGTCTTCCATGCTTAGCTAGGAGCCTGGGCCCCAGCCCCAGAAGAGAGTCTAATTCAACTAGCCCAAGGTGGGGCTGGACACCTCTGTCAGACCTAAAAGCTCCCTACAACTGGAGTTGTGGCACATACCTCTAACTCCAGCATTTGGGAGACTGAAGCAGAAGGATTGTAAGTTCAAGGCCAGCCTGAGTTAGTGCATCTGAGACCAGTCTGACCTACATAGTCAGACACTGTCTTAAAACAAACACTCCCCAGGGGACTCTGGTGTGCACCTAGGGGTAATAACCATGGGCTCTAGGCATGAGTAAGCCTCCCCTTAAGTCAGCTGGACACCCAAAAAAGCGAATGGCATGACATGGGAAGGGCATAGTGCTCTCCTAGGCAGGAAAATACAAATTGAGCACTTACATGCAATTCTGGGCTATGTGTATTTGTGTATGTGCTTACATATGGAGGCCAGAGGACAACTTCAGATATCATTCCTCAGGTGCTGTCCATCTTGTTTTTAATAAACTTACCTGTTTATTTCTTTGTGTGGGGTATATGTGCCATGGCACACAAGTGAGATCAAAGGACAACTGCGGACGTCGGTTCTCTTCTTCCATCATGTTGGTCCCAGGGATCAACCTCAGGTCATCAGTCTTAGCAGCAAGCACCTTTACCTTCTGAACCATCTTGCCAGTCCCATCCTTTTTGTTGTTGCTAAGATGTATTTATTTATTTATTTATTTTATGTGTATATGTGTTTGTCTACATGAGTTTATATGCATTACATGAGTGCAAGAACCCACAGAGGCCAGAAGAAGGCACTGGATCCCCTGGAACAGGAGTTACAGGTGCTTGTGAACTACTATAGGGATGCTGGCAACCAAATCTGGGTCCTCTGCAAGAACAGTAAGCACTATTAACCACTGAGTACCTCTCCAGCCTCCTCTCTATCCTTTTGTTTGTTTGTTGTTTGGGATTTTGTTTTGAGACAGGGTCTCTTATTGGCCTGGAACTCATCACATAGGCTAGGCTGGCTGGCCAGCAAACCCTAGGGATCTGCCTCTCTTTGCCTCCCCAGTGTTGGGTTTACAAGTATGTGCCATCACACTCAGCTTTTTTTTTTCCCCCATGTGTGTTCTGGGCCTCAAACTCAGGTCTTCATGCTTACAAGGCAAGCACTTTACTAACTGAACTATCTTGCCAGCCCCTCTGGGCTGTTTTACATGGGGAGGTCAGCAAAGGCTACTCAAGAAATGTAATATTTGTGCAGAAGTGCAGAGCCCTGGCAGGATCTTAGGTACTAATGGAAGAGCATTCTAGCAAGTGCACAGGCCCTGAAGAGGGAACATGTTGGGTGTGTTCTGGTGAGGCCAGCGTGGCTCATCTAGTCAACAATTAGGAAGAGGAAGCCAGATGGCTACTGGAGGAATCCAAGCAGAAGACTGGCCGGCATACCTGACTTTTTACTTGTGTGTTGCACTGACTGCTGGATTGAGAACCTAGTAAGTAATCATACCTGTTTAATATACTGACTTATAAAGCAGAATTGTCATGTATAAGCTCACTGGGGAGGCAAAAGAGCATTGAGGGTTAGGTCCTAGGTTCAGATCACACCCATTCGGCGCCCTAGCTGTGTGATCTTGAAGAAATAACCCCAACTTCCTTAAATTTCAGTCTCTCCATCCAGCAAAAGGTCTGCGACCAGAGGAGAGACCCATTCAGCCACATGGGGGTGCTCCTGTCCTCTGAGAAGCATTTCATTGCACAGTCAATTCTACACGCCTTCCAGAGCAAGTTCAAAGGTTCAGAAACTGGAACTTTCATTCAGAGCAAAGACGTACCACCCAGTTTTCCCACACAGTGATGGGCGCAGGACAAACAGCCTGACTACTCAGAAACCCTCCCTGGGACATCCTGGCCCTGGCGAGGTCAGGTAAGGGACAGAGACACAGAGACGATCAGGTTGGAACCATCTTACCTAGCTGCTGATGGAGACGCCACTGGAAGGTTATGAGCCAGGGTGAGCAGAGCAGTGGCAGTGAAAGATGCCAGGAACAGCAAGGCCCCGAGGAGGACAAGGACATGTTTATTTCTGCAAAGAAGAGAGGAACCCGGACAGGGAAGGAACACCTTTCTGTTTATGAGGTGCACCAATCTCAGGAGCCCAGCTGCCTTGAGAGAGGAGACTTTACTGGGGTAAAGAGAGCTGGGCAGGGATGGGAGTTCCTGAGGTGCCTCACCTTGACCATTGACAGCTGTAAGACTGTGGGTAGGGTCTTGAATTGAGTTTTTCTTCTAGACATGGATAGTAAAAACACCTTTGTCTGTCCCACACAGAAGCTTACACTGGCCTCAAAGGGAGGCCTGTGCTTGGAAATGTTTAGGAAACACTATGTGGATGTTAAGTGGTGGTTAGCTTAGGAGAGTGTGAGTTGTTCAAGGTAGGATGGGTCACAGATTTGACACAGCCACTCACTCTAAGGCCAAGGGCAGGGGAGGATGGATCAGGAAAGAGCTCCTAGTGCTTCTCACAGCATGGAAGCCAAGCCTGGGACAAATGTCTGGGTGTGGGTAGCCCATGTGGGAGTCGGGAAGAGGAACAGGAAGGCAGGGAGGGCCAATACTAGATGTGCTATCAAGGTGACCAGCACTCAATTCTTCTAGACTGTTCTGTAGAGCTTTATGAAATATACCTCAGAACTGTCTGAGATGAATGAAAGAAACATTTCCCCAGTATCTTCTATTCCCCATGGGTTAAGGGTGCCAAACCCCAATTCCTGTACATTTTGGGGCTGTGCATGAAAGAGCCCAACTGTCATACTGAGGGATGCTGCAGCAGGAAAGAGGTCTGAGCAGACAGGTTCTCAGTGAGGCACTATCTGGTTGCACCTGAGCAGAACTGTAAGGATTAGACTATGAGGACATGTAGACATGTCAAACACAGGCATCTCCATTTTGAAAAAATAACTTAATGATACAGGAGCCACAAAGATATTCATGCCCTACGACCCAGTAATTCCTCTCATGGCTATGCATTCTGAAGAAATACTAGCGCTGGAAACAAATGGTTGCCATGGAAAATAGTCCTTGGGCCATTATTTAGGAAAGTATAAAATTGGAAATAATCCAAGCATCTAACAATGGGAGGCGGTATAAGTAAATTATAGCTCAGTCAGGAAATTGAATGTTAGGCAAATATTACGTTTATGCTTACAGTTAATGAAGTAATATAATAAAATGTGGATGTCATAAAATGATTTTTTAATATGTTTATATGCAACATGTTTTTGTGTTTGAAAAACTGGGCAGAAAAAAATATCAGAAGGATGGCACTAAAATCTTACCAGTGACTCTACTTCACCATGAATGATGGACTGGGGTGAATATTTTCCCTTCTCTTAAACCTAATGTTTTCCAATGTTTCCTAAGTTGAACATGTATTTTAACAAGAAAGAATAATAAATCCCTTAAAATACGGCATACTATAAATTTATCCATGAATTATTGAGGCTGTAAAGTGTTTCTAAAACTAACAAAAATGAAGGTGATAAATATGGGCTATTGGGAATAGGTACATTGATACATTGCTGAGGAGGCTGTAAATTACTTCCCTCCTTCCAAGGAATAATCTTACAGTATGTAACAAGCCCCACAAAATCACTGGTACCCTTTGACCTAGTAATTCTACTTAGAAATATGCCCCCAAGGAAATAACCATAAGAAAAAGTCATGTGTTCAAAGGCAGTCATCACTGTGCCATTTATAATCGTGAAAAATTGGGTACCATCTAGATATCCAACCATAAAAACGGTATATAAATCCTAAAGCTGACAGGCATGCTGATTATGTCAATATGTGGCTATGTTTATGTGAGCAGCTGGGATGGAAAATGCTGAGCACTGGATATTACACACATGCTGATGATAAATCTGTAAAGGCACAGTGACTTAAGTACAGCGATTGGAAGAGGATATGGATGGACAGTAGAGGATGTGGAGCCTTCTTTCCTGAAAAGTTAATTTCCTAAATTTGAAAAAGCTGCTCTCTACAGATCTATAGCACTTTCTGAGAGTTTCAGGGCAAAGGAGCCATGGGGAGGAACTTGTCTGTTAGACCCACTTTCCATAGACGAAGATGATCAGCGGTGTCATGAGATGGAACTGGAAGTCATTGGCAAGGTACCAAGTCCAGCCATTGCACTGAAAAACAGAGAAGCAAAAGTGACTTCCTCTCCTCAGGTACCAGAGCTATTGCACATGTTTGAGCTGCCTGACCCGGGAGAAAGAGCTGAGCAGATGGGTGAGGGCCACTCCCGTGAGAAGAGGAAATTGGAGCCAGATAGTCCCTATCCTTCCTCTCATCCATTTTTGGACCAAGCCTGGATGACAGGTCTCGGAGATTCAGACACATTTCTGTCTTGTTTGTAAAAACCGATATAGCCAGTCCCCTAGGACAGTCATGGGAACTGAATGGTGTCATGATTCAGGAATGCAGGAAGTGATTGCCCTTACAGTGTGGTTGGAACTCGGAGGAACCAGCATGGTTCTTTCCCTTGCCTGGCCCCTACTCCCAACTCTAGGTGGAGAAATCACATTTCTCTGGAAGAAATGCTTGGCTCAGACTCAGTTCCCAGAGTTCCCAGTAGAACCAACATGGGATGGTCTAGGCAAAGTCACATGGTCCCTGCCCCCCTCTCCCCACATACACTTTCTCCATGCTTGTGCAAAATGAAGCCGCTGCCGATAAATTTTCTCCCATGTGAGAAGATTCCTAGGGGCAATTTTCCTGTCCTTTAGGCCCTAGAGCCTAATGGGAGCCCAGACTTCCTCAGCAGAGGGAGAAGACTTGTCCATAGTTAAAGAAACACTTTGGACATGGGGAAAGTGTGAGTGGTCAGGCTTGTGGGTGTTGCACCTCTGCTTCCAAAGATCTAAGGTAGGCCCCACCCAAAGAGGCAACTGGCTCCTGTCCTTGCCACTGATTCCCATAAATGACCCAAGCTAGTCTGCATCTAAGAAAATACCCTAGTCTGTCCCATGGGACCTTGTCACAGACAGGCTTGTTACCTGCAGGCAATTAACTGGGACAAATACCCTGTCAAAACTTCTGGACTTCAGCCTCTTTGTGAATGAGTAATTATGGGAAAGAGTTAGGGATCTGCCATGTTTTTCAGCTTACTGTCAAGGCATAGAGGAATTAGGGACATAACTGAATTACAGCTACCTTGCTTCCTTTCACTCCAAGTTTATTATGAGGGTGTGGGGCTTATGCAGACAAATACGGATCTTGCAGCTCTTTGCCAGGTCTGTATAACTTGAAATTGGTTTAGATTTCACCATGGTAAAAGATGGTGTGATGTCCCACCCCAGCATGGGCTCTCCATGTGCAGGCATCTCTCCATTTCCCATTGTGTGACCAGGACTGGCTCAGGAACATTGATAGAACGGGGCAGCTGCCTCGGGACCCAGACAGTCACCCCTCATTGACACTACTGTGCCCCCTTTCTCTGCTTCACAACAAGGACCCCTGCATCAGTGGGTCCCATGCTCCCAGCCCTTAGAGAAGGAACTTAGGTTGGCCCTTGGAAAATTTGCCAGACCATGAGACTAAGACACATTTACCATATGCCCTGGAAAAACAGTAACTGAGGACTCACTGCATTCTGAACAGAGACAAAGTTATTCAGCAACAGCAGATTTGTCCACCAGGCTTGCCGACAGTTATCCCAGTGGAATTTGGGCACTTCCCAGACAGGTCCCCAAGGAACAAGAGAGAAAAGTCCAACCAACAAGCACACCGAATACAGGTGGAGAAGCTGCAACCTGACAAGAGAGAGATGGGAAAAAAGATGACTCTACAAAGGCATCACACAGTCACCTCAGTGGGCACCTGGAAGGTGGGAGTGAAGATCCTCTAAAAAACTGATGGTACCAGTGGGCAGCCACAGGAAGCATCAGGGTCCCATGGCCAATGCTGAGCTATCTACAATGTGCTGCTACAAAGGCAGATAGACTGCCATTTGCTGAGGAAACGATGTCTCTACTGAAATAGAAGATTTTTAGGAATTCCTAAGACTCAAGAGAATTCTGTTAGGTAGTATTTACCTCCTTTTCACTGATGAGGAAATTATAGTTCAGAGAAGTCAGGCTGACTCACCCGTAGTTAGTCATATCACATCACTAAGATGGGGTACCAGTTCATGATTTCTCATGTGCCTCATTAGACAGAAACCTCTTTCCTCCCTCTCTTTTCTTTTCTTTCTTTCTTCTTCCTTTGTTTCACACTTTCATCCTTCTAAGTAGGATTTTAAATTTTTTTTATTTATGTGTATAAGTGTATTGCCTGCATGTGTGTAAGTACACCTGTGTCATGCACCAAACCCTGTCAAATTGACAGCTAGATCTAGCTGTGACACAGTCCTCACACTTGAGTGGCAGAAGAGGGCTTCAGATCCTCTGGAACTGGAGTTATAGACAGTTGTTAGCCACCATGTGGGTGCTGGGATTTGAACCCAGGTCTTCTGCAAGAATAGGCAGTGCTCTTAACCACTGAGCCATCTCTCCAGCTTTCTTCTAAGTAGGATTTAAAACAGCTACAAAAATGATGAATATCGTACAAGGTCCAGGATGGAGGATGTAGCTCAGTTGATAGAGTCCTTGACTAGCATGCACCAAGCCCTGTCAAATTGACAGCTAGATCTAGCTGTGACACGGTCCTCACTCTTGAGTGGCAGGTGCTTTAGCCATTGGGTCATTTCCCCAGTCCCAGGAGGAGCCCTCTTTTAAAAGGTGTTTTGAGCTGTAGTATAGCTCAGTGTTAGGACTAGCATTTAGCATGTACAAGGTACTGGGTTACATCTCCAACACCACAAAAAAATAAGTGAAAATGCATACATGCATTTAGAAATTAGGGAAGTTTTAGCTCAGGTAGGACAGAACTCATGATCCCAGATCACCTCCAAACATGTGGGAGAGAGCCCAGAGCTGAGTGGGGTATGATAGATAGAACATGGCACGACTTGGAACATCTCCACTTAAAGGTGCCCACTTCCACCCCGAACAGGGTGGTTGGCCAGCACTAAGCCACTGGTCCTCACATGAGGACCAGAGCTGCTGTCCTCATTCTCTTCCCTGCAATGGCAGCATCCTTCATACAGAGTATCCAGTGGGCACAAGGCGCAGGGATGGAACTGCTGAGTGCTGTGACAGAGAAGCAGGTAGCTGTGCCACATGTCTGCTCACCTGTGTTGCTTTGGTGCCAGCCTCCTTGGGGCCTGGAGCCTAGGGGGTTGTCTGGGGGGTTGCCATCTGACCTTGAGACCCTGTAGCTACTCTTACAGTCCTCTGACTTTCACCTCCCTGGACTCCCTTCCTGCCATCTGTCGCCTCTTTCTCCCTGGCAGAGTATTAGCTCTTGCTCCCCCTCAGAAGCAGTGCTTAGGACAGATGCTTCCATCTGAAGAGAGCACACCACCCCATTCTACCCTAACCCTAGCATTTCCACTCTTGGGCCACCTCCCTATGCAATGCTGTATAAATGAAGTCTCCAAATCAGTGGACTACAGTGGTGAGTGAGGTTGGGCCTTGGGGTAGGTGGGTACCTATCTTAAGTAAGTAGGCTGGGGAAGCAGGACCAGAAAGGTGAGTTCTGGTTTTGCTAAATCATTCACATACATGAAAATTATCTTACTTTTCCTTTTTCCTCTTCCATAAAAAGAGAGGGATGATTCCTGCCTCCTAAGATTCTTTGAGAATCCAATGATGTACATAAGACAACAGTGTGAAACATCTATAGTGACAAAAAAAGATATATGTACTACTTTTTTGTTCTGGTTTCCAGGAGAATAAAAGATCCTAGCCTGTGTCATGGAGCTGTGAGAAACAGACATGAATATCTGGTAGGTAGGATGGTAAATAGGAAAGGTCTGTCAAAATTTTACAAGTACCAACTCCATCTGAAGGGATTTACTCCATAAACCTGCCCATCCAAACCTGTCCATCCAGACCTGCCCATCTAGACCTACCTATCCAGACCTACCCATCCAAACCTACTCATCCAAACCTGCTCAAACCTGCCTAATCAATCCTGACCAATCATCCTTGCCCATCCAAACCTGTCGAATCAAACCTGTATGTCCAAACCTGCCCAATCAAACCTACATGTCCAAACCTGCCCATGTAAACCCACTCAATAAAACCTACACTTCCAAGTCTACCCATCCAAACCTGCCCAACTAAACATGCCCATCCAAGTGTACAAAATAAACATATCCTCTTCTTATCTAAGAAAGCAAAAATCTTGAAAACTACCTCCGTATCTATTAGTGGGACCAATTAAAATACACAGTAGTCCCTATGTACAATACCCCACAGGCCACCTTTAACAGCAGTGGTATGGATCCTGCCAATAGAGAATATGCCAATTCTTTGATATTAAGTGAAAAATCCACAGGCAGAACAGAGTAGTAGGTAGAACATCTTGTTCAAGGGAGATAAACAGTTTTTATAAGTTTTATAAGAAAACTTATAAATACATAGAAAGTTTCTGCAATAATTTTGAAAATAGGTAGGGGTATAGCTCCCAGTGTCAGAGTGCTTGCCTAGCATGCTCAAGGTTGCAAGTTTCATCCCCAGTACCATTTTTTAAAAAAATCAGAACACTTAAGCCAAGCATGGGGGCAGATGCCTATAATCCCAGTACATGGGAGGTAGAAGCAGGAGATCAAGAGTTCAAGCTCATCCTTGCCTACATAGTAAGCTTGAGACTAGACTGTGATCCATGAGACCCTGTCTACAACAGACAACAACATGACAACAATAAAAACACAACAAAAATGAATTTGTAAGACACTTGCAGGGTCTATTGCCACAGCCCTTGATTGCTTCCCAGAACTTGAAGGTAAGACCCTGTTGCTGAAGACAGGACATACTTTTGGGCACAGGACTTAGAATAATGGAACTAGAACTGACCTGGAAGCCTCCTGCCTGAAGACTAGCTTTCATAGTTTTAGAGGATACTATGTAAGCTGCTAAGGGAGAAAATCAATCAATGGCCCAACCCAGCTCCAATAACCACAACAATAACCAACCCAGCAAACTCTCTTTAGTGTGCAGTTGTGGCACTTTTATCTTGGGAGTAATCAACTGCTATCTAATTGGATTTAAAGTCTGCTCAATGGAAGGGAACTCATAGCCAAATACATAGCCAAATACACATGGCTGGAGAGATCATAGGTCCTAGAGAAAAACCTACGTCTGTCACATCCCTAGACAAATGTAATTTCTTACTATATGCTAAATATGGAGCTTTATATTTTTAGATAAGTATACCTCTCGTTACTCAACAAAGAACCTTCTTTTTGTAGCAGATGAAGACTATTACAAAGTTCCACAACTGGTCAAATGCAGACAGTAAGTGTCTGTAAGACACCCAGTCCTAAGTGACACATCTACAATGGAATCTCTACACCTAAGGCTCAGAGAACATAGTAGAACAGGGATCAGAGAGAATATTAATGCATCTCTCAACTCTCACCAGCAAAGCTTCTTCCTGCAACAAATGGTAATGAACACAGAAAGCCACAACTGGCCAAAATGTAGAGAATAAAAGACTGCAGAGTATGTGTCCCTGGCTAGAACTCCTACATTAAACCTATGCCCCGCAGGGCTCAGGGACCATTGTGGAAGAGGGGGCAGAAAGACTGCAAGAGACAGGGGTAGTGGGTGACCACAAGGAAACAGGAACTTGTTGGGAATTTGCTCATATGAACTTATAGCAGTGGTGACAGCATACACAAGACCCATGCAAATTCAAATCAGACAAAAACCCAGCATAGAACTCAGGAAATTAAAAAGCCCCAACCTTAGTTGAGGAACTATTGTAACTGATCACTGCTGGGTGAGGGAGAGTTGGTCTTCTTTAAGGGAATGACTCTAGGCAGGCTGACCAGGCTCCAGTGGATAAACTCACACGGAGGGGCATCTGAGGACAGAGAGTTGACTTGATAGGCCCTAACATATATGACAGAACTGCATGAAATCCAGCAGGGAGGCTGTGGGGTGAGTGCAGATGGGGAGGGGGTCTAAATATGATTAGGAAGTATTATATGAAATGCACAAAAAAATCAGTTAAATATAGTAAAAAACAACGTCCTGTGGGGAGTAAAGATTTAGTATAAACCTTCTTTTAGTCATAGTTAAGACATTTTTTACAAAAGCTATAAAAAAAATTAGCTTTTTTGTTATTTCAATTTTGTGGGACTATTTTTTGTTTTATTTGTTTGTTTTTAGACAGGATCTCTCTGTATAGTTCAGACTTGCTTCAAACTCTCTGTGTAGCCTAGGCTGGGCTTGAACTCATGATCTTGCCTCAGCCTCCCAAGTACTAGGATTACAGGTGTGTGCCACCACATCCAGCTGTGCGCTTAAAAAAAAAAAAAAAAAACCATTGTGTATGTGTTGCATATGTGTGTGTGTTCATGTGTGCATGCATATGTGTGTGTATGCACACACACATGGAAGCTAGGGACCGATGTTGGGCGTCTTCCTCTATCACTCTCCATCTTTTTTTATTATTATTATTTTTATTTTATGTATATGTGTGTATTGCCTGCATATTGCCTGTGTAAGTGCACCCATGTTGTACAATACCCACAAAGGACAGAAGAGGCAGTTGGATCCCCCAGAACTGGAGTTATGGACAGTTGTTAGCTGCCATGTGGGTGCCTGGGATTCAAACCTGGGTCTTCTACAAGAACAACCAGTGCTCTTAACCGCTGAGCCATCTCTCCAGCCCTCACTCTCCATCTTTTTGAGACAGGGTCTCTCACTGAACCTGGTGCTCACTGATTGATTACACTGACTGGTCAGCAAGCCCCAGAAATCCTCTGATTTAGCTTTGAGGTTACAGACATGCACTGTAGTGCCTGGCTTCTTACATGGGTGCTATGGATCCACATTCAGGTGCTTGTGCTTGTGCAGCAGCACTGTGCTGACTGAGCCTCGCCCTAGCCACAACTACCTGTGGCTCCTACTAGGAATAATCATGCAGTTTTAGGACCACAGAGCAAATCCTTAATTCCCCATTAGATGATATCTGATGTGATTTACACTTAGTAGGGAGGTGAATGAGTTATCTTATGAAGAAATAGCTTCCAGCCTACCTCCTGACTTCCCACCTCCACTCCCTTCCAGAACACATCTGACCACACACTTCCTCTGCAGGGATCCTCCAAAGGTCCAGGCCTCCTGCCTTCACCCCCTATGACATCACCCCTGCAGGCTTTCCTTGCTGCTCTCCCTGCACCTCATCCCTCTACGAAGACACCTTGTGATTCTTCAGGGTTTTCTTTTTTTTTGAAATATTCTATTTACTTTCATTTTATGTGTATGAGTGTTTTGCCTGCATGTATGTAAGCGTACCACATGTGTACAGTGCCCTTGAGGCCAGTTGAGGGTGTCAGATTCCCTGGAACCAGAGTCATGGACAGTTGTTTGTCCCCATGTAGGTGCTGGGAACCAAACCCAGGTCCTCTGCAAGAGCAGCCAGTGCTCTTAAGTGCTGCGCCATCTCTCCAGCCCCTCTTTGGGTTCTTCAAATGCTCCAACCACATTATCAGTCTTCCCAGCTTTCCATTTCCCCTGAAAGGACCGCTCTTCACTCACAGTATTGTCTTTATCTGGAACATTCCTTTGCTTCTTTTCAAGGTCCTAGACAAAAGTCACTTTCCCTGACTCTCTTTCCAGAGGTTAATCCACTCCACTTCTGTCTCTAAATTCTCATTTTATAACTCTCTGATCACTGATCTGCATCTATTTGGATATTGCAATTTAATGTTACATATTTATTTGTTTATCATATGCTTGAATTCACTACATTGCAACCTACTTCTGGAAGAATTTTGGTTTTGTTGGGTTAATAAATGCTGAATCATCAGAGTTTAGTAACATGCATGGTACATAGAGGCCTGTAATGAGTTAGTGGTGAAGTGGTGAAGCCATCTAATCTTTTGAGACAGTTTTGTTTTTTGACCTTTTGTTTTTGTTTTTTGACTTCTGAGACAGAGTCTCACTATGTAGCCCTGACTGTCTTAGAATTCTCTATGTAGACCAGGCTGGCCTCAAACTCACTCTGAAGATATGGCTAGCCTTGAACTCCTGATCCTCCCACCTTCACTTCCCAAATGTTGGGATCACAGGTGTGCCTCACCATACCCAGCTTAGCTCCTGTCCTCTTGAAGAGATGAATCTGTCCTGAATAGGAAAGTGACTTCTGGCTGCATGAATGAGAGCACCCCAATGGTCAGGGTCATGCCATTTGGTCCCTGGGGACTTTAGAAAGGGCAAGTCCAGAATGTGGGTTGGTACAAACCACCTCTGGGTTTCAGAAAAGTTTTGTCTCAAGTTGGACTCATTCTTTTCCTAACTCTGACTCAAATCTTACTCTTCCAGAGTTCTCTGTCTTGACAATACCACCATATCTGCCACGATGCTCAGGCTGGGAAATTCACGTGTCTTTGAGTTCCCCTGCCCATGTTTCCAGTTTCTGCTGTTGCCCAGTCCATTCCCCTAGCAACAGGTATTGTTTTAACTACTTCATGACACTGTGGTATAGCAAGATGGGCTTGGAGCAAGGAGTACTGCGTGCAGGTTCTGGCTCAGTTCAAACACGACCAAGAAAGGGTGTAAATGGAAGGAGGGAGCTGATGTTTCCTTTCCCCTTAATTCCAGCTGTCTCATCGCATCACTGCCACTTTGCCATCACGGGTTCTGTAGTCCGTGCCAATATAGGAAGCCCTTCCACTTCAACTACCTGTATATTTCTTAATAGAACGGAGTGACCAGGGCCCAAGCCCCAGCTGGCACCTTTCCTTGTCACCCCTTATTTTGCTGTTACCATTCATACTCTGACTTCTGGGTTCCAGTGCCTACTAATGAGCAGCCATACTAATTCTCCCATGGAAATCGACAGGATAGCTTGGGAACTCTGCTTCCCATCAGCTGAGAATGCGTTTGCCAGGGGAAGATGTTAATTTTTATGACCTTTGTCTTCATAGAAGTTGAGCTGTTTCAAACCAGTCAAAACCTACTATATTTAAGGGAGAAAACTATTTTTTTCCATTTATTTTTCTTCAAAAACTCTTTCAAAAAATGGTTAAACATTGAGAACTAATCAATTCTTCCATAGCAATAATGAATTAAAAAATAAACTTACCTCAGAAAACGATCGAAAAGGTATCTGAGAATTACTTTAGGGGTCATTCCCATGTCTGCATTCTGTTGCATCTTTAGAAATGATCTTGCACTTAACCAACCACTAAGAGAAAGAAAATAATAACCACAGGAATTACTTATCAATAATACAGTTGATTCTGCTGTCTCAGTCAGGACAGACTGCGTGACACTGTATTAATAAGGTGCCTCCAAGCCCTAGAGTATCAGTCTTTCGGTTTTCTTAATTTGATCTGTTTTCATTTTGGTCCTGTTTTTCTCATGGCTTATTGACCAGGACTTGGTGTTATCCTCACTATGGACTAATGGACCAGTCATTATGTAAATGCTCACAAATGACCATAGCAGCAGACAAGAGAGCTCTGGAGGGTCTCAACCCAACAATTCAGTGCTTTAGCTTAAAGTAACACGTAAAGGATCTTAGCATAAGTGTTTAAAGCATTTTGCATAATGGCAATATGAGATACCATTTGCTGGTCAGAACTAGTAATGTGTCCCATTCAACCACACAGGGCCAAGCACCTGGGGGATAGAGAGCCAAGAATATTTGATTATTTGATATTTGGCTAACAATGCCAACAACTGCCATGTTGCATTCTCTCTCTCTCCTCTCTCTCTCTCTCTCTCTCTCTCTCTCTCTCTCTCTCTCCCTCTCTCCCTCTCTCCCTCTGTATGTGTATATGTAGCATGTATTATAGTGTACAAGTGAAGGTACCCATGCTGTTCATGTGGAGGCCAAAGGTAGACTTCCTCTATCACTTTCCACCTTATCGCTTCGAGAAGGGTCTCTCACTGAACTGGAAGCTCTCTGTTTTGGTTAGGCTGGCTGACCAGTGAGCTCCTTGGATCTGCCGTCTCTGCCCCTCAATGCTGGGGTTATTGGCATGCACAGTAATGCCTGGCTTCTCACATGGGTGCTAGAGATCTGGACTCAGGTCCTCCTGCTTGCATAGCAAGTACTTTCACCCACTGAGTCATCTCCCCAGCCCTATTGGTCTTTTTAAATAATAATATTAAGGACTTCCACAGTGTCACAAGATTTCCAAAGTGCTTTCACCAGTGAGATTCCTTAGGTTTCCTAACTATACTCAATATTTTTAAAAAATATTTTATTATTTTTATTTTATGTGTATGAGTGTATTGCCTGCATGTATGTGAGTGCACCCGTGTTGTGCAATGCCGTGAGGTCAGAAGAGGGCTTTGAATTCCCCTGGAACTGGAGTTAAGGATGGTTTGTAGCCGCCATATGGGTGCTGGGAATCGAACCTGGGTCCTCCGCAACAGCAGTCAGTGCTCTGAACCGCTGAGCCATCTCTCCTGCACCCTCAATACTTAATAAACATTTGTTGAGTAAATGATCAAACATATGAATGTTTGAATCCTATCAGGTAAAAGAGGAGACATCCCTATTTTCCTAGCAGGAAAAGTGAGACCCAGCTTACTAAGTAGGTTGCCCAAGATCACAGAATTCTGTTTTTGATTGTTTGGCTTTGAGACATGGTCTCATGAAGCCCACAATGGCCTCAAACTCCTTATGTAGCTGAAGATGATCTTAAACTTTTGATCTCCCTGCTTCCATCTCCCAAGTACTGGGATTATGGGAAGATCACAATTTTTTGTGGGATTACATTTTGAGACAGGGTCTCCCTGTAGCCCCAGCTGGCCTGCAACTCACCGTGTAGACCAGGCTGGCCTCGAACTCATAGAGATCCACCTGCCTCTAGCTCCCAAGTGCTGGTACTAAAGGCATGCACCACCATGCCTGGCTGATCACAAAATTCTTAACCAACTCATCCTGACGACAAATTCATGACCTGGAATGTTCAGCTTTGAGTTATAACTTGTGGTCAGCAGGTTTGTGAGTTCCTCGGCCTTTTCACATTTGTCCCAGTGATCCTTGGGAGGGTTTCTCTAAAGAGCAAATGTATTTTCTATTGCACAACGAGGCTGTGTGTGTTGGGCCCCACTTGGAAGGGATCCTGGTAGGTTGGAGAACGCCTTTATTCTTTGCCTCTTAGATTTTCCTTTGAAAAACAGCAAGTTGGATTTGTTAAAATAGGAGTCAAATTTATAAAGACATCTAAATGAGAGCAGTGCGAAATGGAAGTTGGGCAGCCAATTCTGATTCTGGCCTCTTAATTTCAGACAAGGATGAATCCAGACCATCCTTTCTTCTCAGAATGGCTGTTACCCATTGCCAGCCTGGTTGCTAAGCAGAGCTCAGATCTCTGTGTGTGGGCATGCACTGCTCAGCATGGGAGCAGGGTTGGGGTGGGGGGTGGGGCAGGAAATGGACTGTGAGCTAGAAGACAGGCAGGCTACAGGGGCTGAGCCAGAGCCCTAAATGGACTGGGAAGGGGAAATCATGGAGTGTGGAGGTGTGAAGTCAGTCCCCAGAGGTAGGAAAGGACTCCAATAACTCTTCTGGAGAAGGGGAGATTTGAGACAAGGTCTCCCTATAGCCCTAGATGACCTGGAACTTGCTATGTAGACCAGGCTGACTTCAGTCTCACAGAGATCCACCTGCTTCTGCCTCTTGAGTGTTGAGATCAAAGGTGTGTGCCTTCAAGCATGGCCCCTAGCCATTCTTAGGGATAACGAGAAGCCTGTTTTTCTGTGTGAATATCAGTGATAGGATGGTTAAACATGGGGCCTGGGAACAAACTGCAAGCTCAGTTACCTTTATCTGAAATGTTTGGACCCACTGTATTTCAGGACATGGGAATGTTTGCTTATTATATAATGAGGTACTTGGGGGATGAGACCCAAGTCTAGACATGAAATTCATCCGTTTCACATACCCCTTATGTGCAGAGCCTAAAGGTAACTTAAACAACATTTTTGTTGCACCTGTGTTTTGCCTGGGCCCTGAGACTTATGGACTTTTCCACTTGTGGTGTCTTGTTTGCATGTCAAAGACTGCAGTTTTTGGAGTATTTGGGATCTTAATTTTCATGGGTACTCAATTTGTATTATTAAGGTCTGATTCTAACCTTTACAGTATGTAGGCTTGAGCAAATTACTTTGTCTCAAAACATTTGATTTCTTATCTGCAAAAATGAGGTTGATATTCCATTGCTCAGAAGTAAACACATGTATGTGTGTGGTATGTGTTATATGTGTATTGTGTATACTATATGTGCATTATGTATGTTGTGTGTTGTGTGTGACATGTGGCATGTGTGTGGCACATGCACATGTGTGTGCAAGTACACAGGCAGAGGCTAGGGGAAGGTGTCAGGTGTCTCCTTCTAGCACTCTCCACCCTATTCCTTTAAGACAGAGTCTCTCCCTGAATCTGAAGCTTGCCATTTCAACTAGGCTGGCTGCATTCACTGCTATGCCTGGCTTTTTCATGGGTGGTGGGGATTCAAACTAAGATCCTCATGCTTGTAGACGCAGGGCTCTTACCCACTGACTTGTAGAGCCAGTCCTCAAAAGAAAACTTGAAAAAATATGAGTACCATCTAAAGCAATAAAATAAAAACTAGAGAAAAAGACAGCCACAGGCTGATGATAAAAAATGGAAACAGATAGGGACAAAGCAAATAGAAAATGTCTTTGGTCATCTCTCATCTAGCATCAGGATCTGCTTGGCTTCTGCCTCTGTGGTCCTTAGCTCTTCCCACCTGGGCTTACATAACGTTCTTTAAATGTTGGTGGACATTAGGATCACCTGCAAGGTTTGTGACAGACCAGATGGCTGGTTCCACCCCCAGAAGGCTGGTTCCACCCCCAGAAGGCTAGTTCCACTCCAGAAAGGCTAGCTCCGCACATCTGGGGAGTCTACATCACTACCAGCCTTCCAGTGATGCTCGTGTGAGGACCACTGCTAAAGGACTCAGCACAACCCAGCCCAGCCCATCCAGTGCAGGTGAACTCTCCACCTATTTGCAGTGTCCCTAAACATTTGATATTTTGCACGCTGGCCTGGTTTTGGATGGCTCAAGGCTACTCAGCAGATTCTCTGTCATCTAGTGTCATTTTGTTTATGAAATTAAGAAATAATTGAAGGGGCCAGTGAGATGGCTCAGTGGTTAGGAGCACTGGCTGTTCTGGCAGAAGACCCAGGTTCGAGTCCCAGCATCCACATGGCGGCTAACAACTGTAGCTCCGGTTCCAGAGACTCTGATGCCTTCTTCTGACCTCTTTGGGCATTGTGTGCCATGGGTGCACTTACATACATGCAGGCAATACACACATGCAGATAAAATAAAAATAATAAATAAAATTTAAAAAGAAAGAATTGAAGGGGTGGGGAGAAAAGAAATTAAGAAATTTTAGGTCAATAACTCAAGTGAGCATAACTTTGTGAGACGTGACACAGCTTCCTTATCCTTTTCACATCTCACTGTGGTGAGAATTGGAGATTTCAGCAAGAATCTGCACCACTGTGTAGACTTGAACTTGAGAACCACTGAAATGAATATTTTTGATAAATATAATAAACTTTTGGGCTGGTAAAATAGTTCAGTAGGCAAAAGAACCTGCTGTAAAGACTGATGACCTGAGTTCAGTCCCTGGGACCCACAATTAAGAGCACAGACTGCTCTTCCAGAGCACCTAGGGTTTGGTTCCCAGGACCCAGGTGGTGGCTAATAACTATCTGTAACTACAGTTCCAGGGGATTCAATGCCCTTTTCTGGCCTCTGCAGGCATTGTATGCATGGATGCACTTATATACAAGCAGGCAAAACACTCATGCACATAATTTTTTAATTTAAAAATTGAACTTTTGTAAAAGACCCATTTCTCAGAGTTATCCTAACTCTTAATAAACTGAGGGTACCAAGAGTGTAGCTTGTGACAACAGTGCTATCTAGAAATAGAGAAAAGCAAAGACCCAGATGAAGAAATGTGAGCCAATTGCCTTTTCTCACTCAAGTGAGAATGACAACCCTCCCCCACACCCACATGTCCTGTAACATCAGTAGAGACTACATTTCAACCTAATCACCTGATCAGGAAAAAGGTATCCACGCCAAGATAGAACGGGCCGCTCTGGGAATAGAGGTACAGTGGGTTTTCCGGCACTCTGGCTTTCCATTCAAGCACGTTATCTATAATAAATATTAAAAATCGGGGGTTTTAGTTTAGCAAGAGAAAAATCATAGGATTTCACTTTTGAGAAAAAACAAGAGGTACATTGTCAATTTCTAGCTGCATTGAGACAGCTGTAAGAATGGCTTAGGGAGGCTGGAGAGATGGCTCAGTGGTTAAGAGCACTGGCTGCTCTTGCAGAGGACCTGGGTTCAGTTCTCAGCATCCACATGGTGACCAATAACCATTCATCACTCCAGTTCCAGGGGTTCCAATGCCCTCTTCTGGCCTCCACAATCACTACACACATTTGGTGCATTTACATACATGCAGGTATGTAAAACCACTCAACCACATAAAAAATTAAAATAAATAATGAACTTAGAGTGAGAATAAGGGTGGCTACAGCCCCTGCCATGCAGGGTGGCTCTCGAGGTAGCCACAGCCCTCCAGAACTCATAGATTCAGAGTTGGGATAGGTGCACACCCCCTGGAGGGTCCTTGCAACTGCCCTCACCCCAGGTTCTGATTCATGTGCTTAGTCCCCTGCTGAAAGAAGAGCTCAGTTACCTAGTTACTGTCATTGAGTTATTGATAAGAGATGTGGCAACAGGAAGCATTTCAGAAATGGTGATTCACATGCCATGACAGGTCTCAGCATGTAACTCTAGAACCCAAGGACAGCTGCCAAGCTCCCATCCAGTGGCCCACCATCATCCCACATGGAAGGGGCTCTCCTCCCCACAGCTCCCACAGTGGAGGCCTGTCAGCTCTCCGCACCCAAAGATAGCCACGCGGTCATCTGGCTGGTGTGTCCCGAGATGATCCAGAGGAGACTCAGGACTCGGATCCCATTCAGTGCCCGGCAGGTGCCTCCTGGCAGCTCTGTGATGCAGATGGCTGGCACATTCTTTTGCCAAGAAAAGCACTGCAGAGCTCGATCCACCGCCCCTAGAAACCCTGGGTGAGAACAGAACTGTTACTCTCCCCACCCCTGAAAGCCAGACCCAACCACTCTAACTTGAGCCAAAACACAGACTGATACCTCAGAAGGAACTTGAGGCTCTGACTCCAACCCTGGCCTGCTCAACTGAGGCCTCCCTGGTCCCCTCAGAGCCCATCTCTGTACCTGGCCTCCCTCCCCTTTGAACCTTGACTTCCCTTAACAGTCTCCACCTGATGTTGGTGTCCCACAATGCCTTTCACAGACTGTTGTCCAAGCTGAGGCCCCAGAGAGGCCAGCTCCTGACTCCAGGCCTGCTTTGCAAAGGTCAGTAGAAGGACACCCATGAGAGACCAGTAGATTCAGAGAGCTGGCATTTTAGCATCCTGGTGCTGTCCCAAGAACTCCCGCCTGCTACTATGTCTCAACACAGGTCAAACACAGGCATTAAAATGGGGGAATACAGTCACTCAGGTTGCTCCTTAGAGTTAGACATTCTGGCTCTAAGTCTGGCTGTCACTGACAAGCACTGTGATCGCTAGCAAATGAATTGACTTCTCCTCTCAAATTTCTTCATCTGCCAACCAAGGGTCAGAGTAGATCTTGTAATCATAGTATGTTGTTAGTAACAAAGGAGATAATGCTAGTGAATCACTCTGACTAGAGACTACCCAATTATAAGCACTTACAAGCTCACAACTGCTAGTATCAGCATTTGTCACTTTAAGAATAACTAATCTTGCCTACTTATATCCTGGTTTGTTGTTATTGTCTTTGTTTTTTGGTTTTTTTTTTTTTTTTGAGAGCAAGAGAGAATCTCATTATGTAGCTCACACTGGCCTTGAACTTTCGGCAATCCTCCTGACTCTGCCTCCTACGTTCAGGAATGCACCACCATGCCCAGTTCTCTCTCCCTCTCTCTAGATAGATAGATAGATGATAGATGATAGATAGAGATAGGTGATAGAGATAGATATATAAAGATAGAGATATGTGTATATATATGTATGTATGTAATGTATGTATGTGCTCACACTGGCCTTGAACTTTCGGCAATCCTCCTGACTCTGCCTCCTACGTTCAGGAATGCACCACCATGCCCAGTTCTCTCTCCCTCTCTCTAGATAGATAGATAGATGATAGATGATAGATAGAGATAGGTGATAGAGATAGATATATAAAGATAGAGATATGTGTATATATATGTATGTATGTAATGTATGTATGTATACACACATAATATTTAACCTTACCTATTCCAAGAGCCAATCAAGTGGCTGGAACTGTGAGATAGGACTCTCCAAAGTCCAAGCCAGTGCTGAAAGGCTCATGTTCTCCTAGACAGAGCTGAAACTTTGTGAACACTTCCCAGTACATTCTTCCAGAACTTAAAACATTCACAAATGAGGTCTGGCTTATAGCCAAGCACTGGCAATCTAAATCAATTTTTAAAATTTATTTCCCTGGCATTTTGAGGTTCTAGCAGTCAATCTGAGTTTCCCTGTGATGGTACCCCTGCCACAGGCACAGTGTCCACCTTTCATTTAGAGGAATTGTGCTCTGTGGCCTTGGCAGTCAATGCCACCATGAGAGTGCCCAGCAGTAGACATCACCTGGCTCCTTCCCAGGATCCTGAGCTTGCAAGATACAGGACCAGGGCTCTCCCAAGCTCAGCCAAGTTCTTTAACCTCCTGAGTCTCATTGCCTCACATTTAGAATGGACATAATTTGGGGCAGCACTGTGAATATTCTAGAACAACATCAAATATCTGGCTCGGAGCCTACCTTGGCAAGCAAATACTCAGTGCACTTTAGTATTATTTCTTCCACCTAAATTCTTCTTCTGGATGACTGTAACCCTTCTTCCGAAAGTAACTATTCTATAGAGAAGACAGCCTCGTGGAATCCTGTTTTACTCATTTGTGGAAAGGATTATAAACCATAGAGACAGGGATGGGGGATGGTTGCTGGGCTAAACAGTTGACATGGTCACTGGTTCTCAAGGTGGGGGTTCCTGGACCAGCACTTCAGCATCGCCAGGGAACCTGTTAGAGCTTCCCCTTCCCAGGTTCTGCAGCAAACCTGCTAAACCATAGTCTTTCAGGTTCAGGGCCCAGCACTTTCACCTTGCAGGGGATCCTGATGTATGCCAAAATTTGAGAACCACCAGGCATGCCCAAGCTTTAAACCTCCTTGAAGCCTCGTGGTATTTCTTAAGTATTGTTCCTGTGGTCCCACTTTCAGCAACAGATCCCAGAGTAAGAGCCCTGATTCCTCTGGACTGAAGTCCATAGCTATTTACTTCATGGGTTCTTTCTCAAATGTCTGCTCCCTTGTATTTTTCTCTTCTCAATAGCAAGACAAATTCATTCAACAGGAAACCGCACTAAGCAAACACAGTAGTTATTATGAGGTAAAGTATCAGGAGTCTAAAATATCCAATTAAGCATTAACCTTTTAGAAGATACAGTGGTCTTATATTAGTTTGTTTTGCTGGGGCATGTCAAAGTGGAGAGGAAAAAAAAAAAACAATGAACCTTAGGGTCCCTTCACCTTGATTTGTTTTTCTAAATGTTCAGGGATGTATTTTATCTCTGATAGTATTAAATACAATCTCTGGACTAGAGAGATGGCTCAGCAGTTAAGAACACTACTGTTCTTGCAGAAGACCCGGGTTCAAATCCCAGCACCCACATGACAGCTAATAACTGTCGGTAACTCCAGTCTCAGGGGATCCGACAGTCTCTTCTGTTCTCTGAGGGCATTGCATGACACAGGTACACTTACCTACATTCAGACAATACACGCATACACATAAAATAAAAATAGTAAATAAAATAAAAATAAATAAATACAATCTCTAATAGCATTTTAAAATTGCTGTGACAACTCTACACAGAAGCACCATTTTGAAACCATGGAATGAAGTAACTGCTGATAAAATTCACAAAACCCCAGCGGAAGAGAAGAGAGAATCTGTTTGGGGGAGGAACCTAAAGACTTAGTAGTAGCTAGTGCCTGACACCATCTGGTCATATCTACTCTAAGTCTGTGGCAGGTCCTACGTTCAGGCTCCTGTGGCCCAGGCTAGCACTGCTGAAAAGTGATGGAGACCTGTGGTGCCTGTTGGCTCATTTCAATCTGACAGTTAGAAGCACCTGGAACACAGCCGGGCCTGCTGCTTACTGAGCAAGATCAGGACAGCCCAGCAATAGGTCTTGGCAAAGTACAGCCCTTCCTTTCCTCCCTCTTCTAGCTTATCTGTAAAGACAGGAAAAGAAGAATGGATTTTGAAGGTGAGAACAGTATCTCATTTAATTCCATCAACAAATCCCACTTTGTGCACCCATTTTACACATGTGGAAGTTGAGATTCATAGAAGTCAGTCCAACCAAGATCAGAGTTAAGAACCAAGTTAGTTTGACCAGGAATTGTTAAGCCCATGCTTAACCATGCTAAACTTGGAGCTGTCTACAGAGTGGTCAGGTGCAGAGAAATCTGCAGCCATATAATAAGAGGTCACTGAAGGATTCTGGGATCTGGGCCAAGCTATCATGAGTATCCTCAAAATGTGATGGGGATATAACATAATCAACAGAGTGGATTAGAGCTCTGTGTACATACTGCAGGGCAGCAGGGGCTGCTCCATGGCTGCCTGGCAGGCAAACTGCTTCTGGGTTTGCATAGGAACTGGTACCAGGAAATGCTAAGCCTACTCAGTTTCTGCTTAGACTACCTTTGTCTTTACACAAGTATGTTTTATTGTTTCTTTTGTTGGAGTTTTATGTTGCTGTTACTACTGGTTTTGTTTAAAATTCAAATAAAATCATAGCTAAGCCTTCCTCATGGGACATACTCCCCAAAGCTAACATCAGCACATGTTCACATTCTCCTGGTCCATTCCTTGAGACTTCTTAGTTTTATTATTTTTATCCACCTTGTTAGAGTAGGAAAGGACAATTTTGAGGACTAAAGAAATTTGCTAAATATTATTCTATACATACTAAAAGTGTCTGCTTGATCAGGCAATTTTTGCGTGGTATAATGTATACATGATAGAGATCGAGAATAGATATAGATAGATAATTGATAATCTGTATCTATCTGTCCATCTACACTTTCCCCTTCCATAAAGACAAGTGGAAATGAAACTAATATTCTTTTTTTTTTTTTGAGATAGGGTCTCACTATTTAGACCAGGTTGGCTGTGAACTCACAGAGATCCAACTACCTCTGTCTCCCAAATGCTGAGATAAAAGGTATGCACCACCACACCTGCCCCTTGAAGCTAATATTCTAGATTTTCACAAAAGCACAACACACTGGGCCCCATTGAAGTCCATCCTTTCAATATCATGGGCTGGGTTATCTATTTCCAGCTCAGATATGTTAATTAGCTGTGTTTGTACAAGCATCCCCATTGCTGACTTCAGTCTATATGTAAATTATTTACCTTAGTGATGACAAAGTGTCTGTGAGTCATGTGTGTATCTGTGACACTGAAAATAGTTGTGAAATAGTTCCTACAAGACTAACTATAGTGAACCCCTGAACTCTGTACTGACCTGGGCTTTGATCAGCACAAAACACACTGGATTACTGTACCCAAGACATAAAACAGCATTTTTAGTGCCTTTGCCTTGCCTAACACACTGATAGTAACAAAGACTGGATTGTAAGCAGTAGAACCCAGCCTCTGCTGACATTTAGACGCTGTTGAGCATTCGTTGGAATCCAGAACTGGAGGAGTTGTTTTCCAACCCAACGCTCACCTAAGTCACTTCTCTGGGTGGTCCTAGTTTAAAATGCCTACTTTTTCCCCTGTTCACAAGTCCTGGTGGGGTGAGATGAGCCTGGCAATTGGTCCAAGGGATCCAGCTTCTCTGCCCATCACTCTCCATGTTTCTCAAAGGCAGACTCCCACAACTGGTGGGAGGGGTCCTATGTCCAGGTGATGTCCTTGAGTTCCATCCCCAATCTCTGGTGACTACATAAATGGTTCCAGTCACAGGGAGAATGAGGCCTAACAAGGTGATGAACCTGCAGAGAGAAGACACATGGCCAGGCCTTTACATGGCTCCAAAGATGCAGAGAAAGCAACCCCATAAGAAACAAAACCACCAATTGGACATAAGAAGCTCCTGAACCCCAGCACACAGGATGCTGAGCCAAGAGGCTCCTGAGTTTAAGGCCAGCCTGAGCTATGTAGTCACACCTTATCTCAAAACTAAAAAAATAAACCAACAACAACAACAACAATAAAAAACCCACTAAACATTTACGTAGGGAAATATTCATCAATTTAATAATGAGAGCTAACATTCTAAGAATTAAAACTAATGAGAAAATATGACATCAGAAAAGATTAATGAAGCTAGACATGGTAGTACAAGCCTTTAATCCCAGAGCTCTGGAGGCAGTGGCAGGAGGATCTCTGTGAGTTTGAGACCAATCTGGTCTGCAAAGTTAGTTCCAAGTCAGCTGGGGCTACATAGTAAGACCCTGTCTTTAAAAAAAATTAATGAATTTCAGTTAGCTTATTATCAGCATAGATAATTTATAAAGGATTATGCCCTTTACAAATATGATGAACTTTAAGGGGGCTGGAGAGATGGCTCAGCAGTTAAGAGCACTGGCTACTCTTGCAG